CATTGTGGATCAAAAGAGCATATTACTCCACAACCAGGAAATTTTCTTTGTAAATGTCGTATGGTAGAACCACACACCGAGAAAGGCTATGTAGGAGCTAGAATCAGACTTTAGAGCCTAATATCCCCAACTGTTCGATTGAGAGTGAGAGACAAATTTGAGGGACTAAATTTCTTTTAAGGGTTTGAGAGTTATAACATCCACTTAAAATTTCTTTTTTTATATTTTATTAATAAATATAATTTTTTAATTATTTAATTTATTTTATTATATTTTGTTTTATTTTAATTTAATAAAAAATTGAGTAAATTGATAAAGGATTAAATTGAAAATAATTTTAAGAAAAATGGGTGAAAATTTGGGTTCTGATAGTATTTTTGAGAGAAAAATCGAAAATCGGATGTTAAAACGTAATTTAAAAAAATTGCACCACGTCAGACGTCTGGTCAGTAGTTCCGACCAAGCAGGATGCACCAAGTGGCAGAGGTGCTGACGCGGGAGGCCACGTGAGGGGAGCCACATGGGCGATCCACGTGCGCGTAATCGAATGGCTGAGGTCCGTTTCTACGCGCACGGACGGCCCAGATTGGATCGCGATGAACGGTTCAGATTCACTCCCTATTTAATTACAATCGGACGGTTCAGATCAAAAGCGATGAACGGCTCAGATCAAAAGTGGATGAGTATAAATAACCACATTCGCACCCAAACTCTAACCCTAGCCACCAAAACCCCTTGCTAGAGAGACAACTCAGCTGCTGGAGAGCCGACTGCCGCCACCCGCTGCTGCACCAGAACCCTTTACGACTGTCAAAAAAGGTAAATATTTTCTCTTTTGCACGAAATTCAATTTTAAACCTACCCATAGCTAAATCGGAGTGAAAGAACTAGCCAATTGGTCGGAAAACACCGTCGAAGTCCAGCGCCGCCGCCGCAGAGAATTTCACAAACCACCTCCGATGAGGCCCTTCCCGATTCCCGTTTCGTATAATTTTTCTATCGTTGTGATCATCGTTTTCCTCTCTACAGGTTGACCGAAGTGAAACACCCAACTGCAACGTGAGTCGAAGGAGCCGTCGCACCGGAGAGCCCCACCGCCAGTGAGTTTCAGTTTTTCGTATTTTTTCGGTCCATCGAGACCCTTTAGCGTGTGTGCTCATAGGAATCGATGTAAAATCGACCGAATTTGGCCGAAAATGATCGACTCGAGGCGGACTGCCGCCGCGGGTGGCGACACCGTCGGATTTTTAAAATTGGCCCAGTAGGCTCTGAGACTGATTTTTGGGTTTATCGGGACATTTCTAGGTACCATAAATGCATTTCCGTTTCTAGAGAAAAATTTAAGGAACCTAGGGAACGCCCATAAGCGCAGTAAACCATTTAGCTTTTCGACGTCGACTCAAGTAAAAACTCACCACCCTATTTTCTATCATAGCATTGAAGTTTGAATCAATAATGATACGGTATTTTGTACAAATTAAATAGATTTGCATAATTAATTACGGATTACTAATGGAGCCCGAACTGGACATTATTCTCTGTTGATTTTTGTTGATTTATTTTACTGTCTAAAAGTATGATGATATCTGATTTATCTATTTTATGGTTTAAATGCATGTATTACTGTCTTACTTGATCACTGTTTGATTTTGGAATTTGAGACATGATTGCATTTTCGGATGCATATTTATTTGTTTATATGATTATGTTTGATTTGATAATGGAGACTAAGGAAAAATAGGAAAGGTGGATGATCAAATAAACAGATAGAATGATAACCCTACTGGATATCCTGAGAGATGGTAGACGGGCCGGGTACATAAAAAACCCTATCGTGAATGTTGTCTCATACCAGACGGGGTATGGAGACTTGGTAATTTGGCGCTCATACCGGACGGGGTATAGAGACGGCCCACTTCACCCTCATATCGGACGGGGTATTGAGGTTTAATGTTTTTGCCGCTTATACCGAACAGGGTATGAGGACAGCCATGTAATTAAGATTGTTAAGGAAAAGAGTTCACGTGTAGTAAAGACACCCCATATGAACCCCCATGGATACTAGTAGGCTGGTGAAACGAGAAACGGTTATGATCTGATTTATCGTTAATGAATATGAATTTATGATATGTACTATGTTGCTGATTGTGCATGAAATTATGATCTGTTTGGTATTATTATCTCTATATGTTATTTTCATGAATTTCACAATGGTAAGTGAACGTTAAATGATTTTATTATTAATAAACGAATTTGCTAAATTTAGTGCTCTATTAGTTGTTTTGGTTTTCTACCAACCTTTACTTCTGTGCTGGTGATATACTGTGATATCCTTACTGGGTTAGTGTAGCTCAACCTTTATTTTATCATTTCAGATCAAGAGGATTTGGTTTCAGAGCCCGATTCATAAGAAGATTGCGAGTAGATGCTAAATACTTTTTATTTTCTTTTATTTTTCTCATTTCTCGTGTTTCTTTTAGAGAGTTTATTCTTTAATATTTGTTTAATACTTTTAAGTTATTGTGTAAAGGCTGTAAATCTTAATCTTTTATTTCGCTTCTACATTTAAATTATTATATATTTTCTTTTGAATTTTCGGAGTCGTTACAAGTAATATGTATGTGTAATGTTTATATTCATGCATGCATATTGTACCAGATAACCAACAATATAAAAGCAATATCTCGTCAGCATAATGAACTGAAAATATATGTATGCATATGTATGTGACTATTAATTACATGGCCACATATGTACATGTGAATGATATGTAATGGTATCTCAACTGTATGTGTTGTGTTTGTATTCATGCATGCATATTGTACCAAATAACTAACAATATCAAAGCAATATTTGTTGTTGTGTATTGTTAATCGTTTTACAATAAATGGCATCATTAGTTTGATTCTGTATATATGCACATATATGTAGCTAAACGTATCCAATCCACATCAGTAATATGTAGTGATATTTATTGTCTGTGTAGTGTTTATATTCATGTATGCGTATTGTATACCAGAGAACTAACAAGGACGGAGCAAATTTTGGTTTGGGCAAAGTTTATCTTTTACAAGAAATGGAATCATTTATTAATGTGTTGACCTAATGTCAATGTATTTATTTATATATATATTTTTTATATACATACAAAATATGTATACATATTTAAAGGTAAAATACATATACATGTATGATGTGTGAAGTTCTAGATCCAGCTAGCCTATATATATGTGAGGTGCATTATTTGATTAAATATGTTGGCTAATAAAACGTGAGAAAAAATTAAATCAATTTATATCTAATATAATATATATAATGGTCATTTATTTCATTTAATTTTTTATGTGAAATTTATTTTATATATAATTAATGTATAAAGAATAAAGACCGAACTGTGAGTTATAGGATGCAATCAAATTTTTCACAAACAAGCTAATAGGATTCAATTTCCACTCAGAATGAAGCATCAACTCTGTCAACATAGTTATAATATCTCACAATATAGCAAGTCAATTGGCATTACGGTAATGTTTTGATACAATTCCCAATTTATAGAAGTTCAAAATTATAATGTATAAATATATCTTGAAAAGATTCAGTAGAGTTTGACATTGAGTCAACGTTAAGGCATCGATCTCCAAGCTAACCTCTGAGTTTCAGGAAAATGGCGAAGTTGCCAATGGTCTTGAAATGTCCATTTGGAGTTGGGGATGACTGAAGAGGTAGGTTTTGATGGGTTTGTCTTTTTCTAGACAATCTTGGCAAATGAAATCGAGTTGAACTGCTTGTATTCTATACTGGTTAGCAAGAGGAATTTGATTACGAGCAAAGAAGCTTTCAGAATCCTTGTTGAGAAGTTTGAGACTCGGGGGTGCTCAGAAAACATAGTAGTTTTTTGCTATTTGGTCAATTGGTTTATTAGTGAGTGTTCACTGTGAAATTTAATGTTGATGTATTCACTTATATGTATATACATATAAAATATGTACTATATATTGTAAAGGTAAAATAGATCTACATGTATGATATTGTGAAGTTTCTAGAATCAGCTAGTTTACGTGTATGAGGTATATTAACTATGTTGGCTAATAAAACATGAGAGAAAAATTAAATCAGATTATTTCTAATATTATAGTAGATATATATATATATATGTATGTATTAGAAATAATGAATTGACATAGCCATGCAATGCATAAGAGATAAGAGTTACATTGTAAAATTGGACGACGACGTTTTTTCTTATTTTCTTTACGTTGGATTCATCTCCGTGAATTGAAAAAATAAATAAATATATATATATATATGTGCATACCTTATACTAATGTGTGTGTATATAATATATATATATATATGTTCATCCGTAGTTAATACTGTGATTATGCACTTTCTTGTGTGTATATATATATATGTACCTATTTCTAATTATATATATATATTTAAAAAACTAAATGATAAAATACATATTCTCTTGGCAGCCAAAGGATTAATTATTAAAATAACAAAATTATTTTGCATTATCATGTCGAAAACTAACACCACTAAAAGTAATACGCTTATTCAAATAATATTTAAAAAATGCGAATTGTATTCCCTTCAAAATAATTGGAAGAGTAATTTAGTCCATACACATTGGTATGGGAATATTTTTATGGTTAAAAATGAAAAAAATAAGACTAATATATATATTTTTTTATTTCTATTTATTATTTTAGTGAATATAATATTATTTTTATTGAAAACACAAATAAATACGCGGAAAAACAAACTTGTTCCTTGAACGTGGGAGAATTGGTCAATTGAATTGTTCCGACCAAAAGGGAAATAAAAGTCAAAAGTCAAACACAAAAGCGGTGTTGTGTAGTGTTAGGGTGATTAGGAAAGGCGAAACGCGTAAAGATCCAAGTCCTTCCTCCGCACATTCAATCAGGCCCACCATCCCGCAACTTTCCTCTTCTGCTTCAACTTCTTCCTCCCCAGTATATATATACACTAAAGCTTCTGGTCACTACCATAACCAGACGTCAGTCGGAAAAACCCAACACAGGAAGATAACTTCGTATTTCTCTTCTTCCTTAATTTGGTTTCTTATTGAAACCAGAGGAGCTTTTTTTTCTTTGTTTCTTGAATTGAAGCATAACCAGATTCAGATTATCAGACATGGGTGTCAAAGGTTTTGTTGAAGGCGGTATAGCTTCCATTGTAGCTGGCTGCTCAACTCATCCTCTGGATCTCATCAAGGTCCGCATGCAACTCCAAGGCGAGAAACTCACGGCTTCAAACGCCAACCCAGCTCCCACTCTGCGACCGGCTCTTGCTTTTCACTCTGCGAATACAACTGCCACTCTGCTTCCCCATGATTCAATCCGCGTATCGCCGCCGCCGCAACCGCCGCGAGTGGGTCCAATCTCTGTAGGCGTCCGCATAGTCCAAGCTGAAGGCGTCGCCGCTTTGTTCTCCGGCGTCTCCGCTACTGTGCTCCGGCAGACGCTCTACTCCACTACCCGCATGGGTCTCTATGACGTCCTCAAGCAAAAGTGGTCCGACCCGGCATCCGGAAACATGCCCCTGACACGCAAGATCGTCGCCGGCCTAGTCGCTGGAGGAATCGGGGCGGCCGTCGGAAACCCCGCTGACGTGGCTATGGTTAGGATGCAAGCTGATGGACGGCTCCCACCGGCTCAGCGGCGCAACTACAGCGGCGTGGTCGACGCGATCACGCGCATGTCGAAGCAGGAAGGGGTCACTAGCCTGTGGCGCGGGTCAGCCCTTACGGTAAACCGCGCTATGATCGTAACGGCGTCGCAGCTGGCATCTTATGATCAGATCAAGGAGGCGATTCTGGAGAAAGGAATAATGAAGGATGGGCTGGGGACCCACGTGACAGCGAGCTTCGCGGCGGGATTCGTGGCTGCGGTGGCGTCGAATCCGGTGGACGTGATCAAGACACGCGTGATGAACATGAAGGTGGAGCCAGGACAGGCCCCACCTTATAGTGGAGCCATAGATTGCGCGTTGAAGACAGTGAAGGCTGAGGGACCCATGGCTTTGTACAAAGGGTTTATACCAACGATCTCCAGGCAAGGTCCTTTCACTGTTGTGTTGTTCGTGACACTTGAGCAGGTTAGGAAGTTGCTCAAGGAGTTATGAGAAGATCTTAGGGCTGTGTTACAGAGGAAGAAGAAGATGATGACGATAACTATCTAGCTTGATTTGGTTAATGATAAATATTTGTTTGTAGCAAGTCATGAACTGACGACTTTTATTCTTTTTTAATTTTATTTTTATCTGGAATTGATGCTTTTGCTAGAACAAGAATATATTCTGGTGGAATAGAATAAAGAATACGAGTTGTTGTTCATGACTTGAATTTTGTTCAAGTTGTTATTTACGTAGAAACTAATTAATGGTTAAGTTTAAATAAATTAATTTTTATTTCAAAAAATCGTGTCTCAATAATTCAATCTATGGGGGTCAGATTGAAACCCAAAACTTTTTTAACATGGCTAGAACTCAATTCCAAACCATTTCATTTGGAGTGGATAGCTCGAATACAGCAGTTCTTCTACCATCTATGAAATTAATTATAAATTAGTTGTCAAAATTACATCATGAAAAAAAAAAAAACATTATCTGTTTTATAACGACTTCATCGATGACATAAGACATCCTTATAAAAATGAGTTTGAGCCTCTGTGCCGGAGTCAAAAGACACACGACACAACAAACAAATTTGATTTTCGTGGGCGGGCGAGAAAAAGATAGAGGAACTAGCTCTTTATGACATCGAGAGGCTTGTGGCTGATGGACTGGCGGCACCTGGTCAACTTCGACAAACACAATAATACCCTGAAAGTCAATTACGGACTTTTCTAGCCTACCAAAAACTACCTCATCAGCTAACTAATATTGTAGACTATTCATCTGATTGGTTTACCTGGAAGGGGACATGTATAATTTCATTCACGGTCAGTGAATCCAATCACAACATATGGACTTCTTGGATGATCAGTCTTAAAATAAAAGGAAATTTTTGGCGATGCGTGCAGGTTAAAACTATAATTTGCTGGTTGGTCAGGTCAGTTTAAAGTGAAGGCTGCCTTCCTGGTATATGCCTTCATGCATTTAATTGCTACGACACTGGCGCCAAGCAGGCCTCAGCGGAAGTAAAGCAATTGCATTGCCCATAGGGAAAAGGACATGACTAAATTGAGACCACTATACAACCCTTGTGCTCTCTCTAAACCAGCAAAA